TACAATGTTATAAACCAATGTTACTGCAATAAACAAAAAAAAAAAAAAAAAAAAAAAAGAATCTCCAGTGGTCCTCCTGGCCGGGCTGGACCCCTTTGTGGGTCTGTGCCTGAACTGAGCTATACCTGGGGAGGAGGTATAATTTTTGTTCCCCTAGACCGGGGTAGTTTGGTTACTCCTCTTGGTAACGCTGATCCACATAAGCTTGATTTAGCCCTAAGAGCTCTGTCTTTTTTCAAGGAAGAAAAAAACTCTTTATTTGCACAGAAGAGCATTGTTGGAACGTAGGTCCTATTTGTCCCATCCAGCCTCTTTCCCTGGTTTCAAAACAGACAAGGTTGTGAGGACAGTGTGCCTGCAGCTTCCAGAGAACATTCTGATTTTTGCTTCTTTGATTCTGATTTTATAGCATTGTGATCCCACTGGAGTGTTAAAAGCTCAGAGAAGTTGAACTAACCATGGCACGCATCCCATTCCACCCCATGCACTGATTACCTGAATGCCCTGCTGACTAATAGGTAATTTCCTTTATAGTTTGGGGGTGTGCAGCAGCTGAGGGAAAATTCTATCCCCAAAGGCCCGCTGTAGTTGTATTAAAACCTCCTTTGGGGTCAGAGTCACCGGGTCCCAGTCATAACGGTGGAGCATGTTCCACACTGAGTCAGTTCAGCAAAATGGATGACAGCAAAAAGAAAGCTCTCACTTGGAAAAGGCCAAACCCTAGGAGTAAATAAAGGGCTTCTTTGGCGCAGCATAACCTGAGGGAGTGATCAACGGGTTAACCACCGTTCCTGAGCCACCGGGGAATCTCTGACCAAGAGATCAATCTATGTGGCTCACAATATGAGCACAATGAACATCTAGATTAATTCAGCAGAATATTTTTAGAACTCTGGAGAAAAATCCATCTGGAAGTGTTTTGAGCTGGAGCATAATGCTGTCAGATAAAGTCTGAGGAAGAAGACGGTTTGTTAGGCCCGACTGTCAACACTGGTTGTCACAGACCAGTTACAATCAATTGTGCTATCAATTGTGTTTATTCTTATACATTTTGTCATAGCAGAGGAGTTGTTTAGGTTTCTTTTTTTCTTTCTTTTTTTAATTTTGGCTTGTGCCTTTCACCTGAAAAACGAAAAGCTCCCAAATCTAGTGCTTACCTGAAAAAAAACAACTCTGCTCATTAAAATTCAGTTTTCCTTCACATAGGAAGGACTCAGATTGTGTTTTGACCTCGTGGGTGCAGTGCTGTCGATAACAAATGGTCTGCCCTTGCAGATGAGTCAATGTGCTGCCCGAGTCCTCAGCTACCCCTGCATTGTCACAGTCCCAGTTCTTTCTCTGAGTCACTTCAGCTCTGCTGTGACGCAAAGACTCTGACCTTGGAGCCACCACACCTGGGCGTGAGCCTTGGAGCCACCACGTAGCTGTGTGACGTGGGGCAGGCTGGTTCCTGCATTTGGAAAACAGAGAAAATAATTTCTGCCTTAGAGGATTATAACAATAGAATAAGACGATTGATATGAAAGTGCGCGGAAAACCACAACATTGGGACTATATTGTTAGTCCCAAGTCCTTACATTTCTACCAAAGGATGTGATAGAGAACGTGGACCTTATCTATATTACATTGCAAAGGTGGAGAAGAAGATGTGCTCAAATAAAATAATAATATATTCTGCCATAAATCTGCCCCTGGAGTAAGGAAGGAAAGGGGTGTGTGTGTGTGTGTGTGTGTGTGTGTGTGTGTGTGTGTGGTGGAAAGGCTGAAAGTTGCACCAGGAATGATTTCTTCCAGCATCAGCCTTAGGTAAAGTGTTACCTTCAGGGCCCATTTCAGGCCCTAATGTCTCAAGCTGCCCCACCCGACGTTTCTCCTTCGTCCCCCCTTTGCTTGCTCATTGCATGCTTTCAGGAAGCTTTTAATCATTCCAGAGTTGGATTAGCCTGGAGGAAGTGTGGACCAGAAACTGGATTCAAGGGGTCTAGTAGTGTCTCAGACCAAATCGGTATTATGGGGTTTTGTTTTATTTTGTTTTTATTCATGCACTTAACAAATGTGTATTGAGCATCTACTGAGAGCCAAGGCCTATTTTCAACTCCAAAGGAAGAATCACAGATGGAGGAGTGTTTTGTTGGACCTGCACAGGGTTTAACATTTTCAACTTCATTGCCAAATTTAAATTTGGAATATTTTACATCAAAATTCTGGATTTCTGTCTTGCCTTGAGGTATTATCATTTTTAAGAATGGAAACTTTTTATCATATTAAATTCTATATGGTGCCTAAATATGAGAAACATAGAAATGAAGGGGCTCTGGTCGACACTGGCTTTATTGTGTGAGCCCTGATCCTGGCGACCCTCTTTTTATTCCTTGGTGGTTTACGTATTGGTTCAGGCTCCCTGGAGTGGGTTTTCAAGCAGAGGGACACGGGCCCATTGGGCACAGAGAGCCTGTCTAGGGTTGGGGCAGAGGTGCTCAGCCCAGGCAGGATGTTACTTGAGACAGGGTGAGAGCCACAGCGTGACCAGTAAGTGGGGTGCAGAGACAGAGTGAGAGTTCAGACTGACAGCATGAGGGCCAGCAAGTGCCCCTGACCAGGCCGGCTAGGGAGGGACAGTACTACAGTGTTAGGATCAGAGGCGTTGGAATCTGGCTGGCTGGGTTTGAGTGGCCACTGGGGAATAACCTGGGCCAGCCTCTGAGCCTCAGCTCCCTCAGGTATAAACTGAGGATAAGAACAGTCCCACCTCATAGTTGTTAAGGTGTGGTTGTAAACGAGCTGTTGCATGCACAGTGCTAGAACAGCGCTTGGCAGGTGGAAAGGGCTCAGCACATGCTTGCTGTCCTCCGAGCGGGGTGATTCGCCGTCCCTAGAGGTCAAAGTGAACGACGCTGCAGCTGAGGCCAGGCTGAGACAGGTGGGCATCCTGGCCCGGCTACTGCTCTGGTGCCCCCTTTTATTATTTATTTCCTCTTTATGTTATTTCAGTATTTGTGGGACAGTTCTTAAGTGGGGCGGCTGAGTGATTCCAGGAGAAGATCACTGGTGAGTGAACCTGTGTTCAAGCTGGGAGCCTTCCATAACTTCCCCGGAGAGCTGACATCCACCTTCCGAGATTAAGTGTCTGAGATCATAGAACTCAAACTAACACATATGCCTTTTCAACTTCTGAACTGTGTGCCTGCCTCTTGAAGAGTCTTTTGCAGATCAAGAGGAAAGGAGGAGATGTTGCATCACTTGGGCCATTTGAGGCAGACACCTCCTCAGGGACCTCTGGCCAGAGAGCAGGTGGGGGAAGGAATCCTGCTGGTCCACGGAAGCCCTGGCTCAGGTGGGCCAGCTGCACTGATTTGTGCAAAAGCTGAGTGCCAGGGGCTGGGCTCTGACTGAGCTGCACGAGGCCACCGTGGGCTAGTCTTGTGGGCATTTGATGAAAACCCATGTTAAAAATATTTCTGCTTATTTCCTGGCGAGGTATGTGGTCGCTGGAGAGGCAGCTGTTAACAGGGAACTTGTCAAGTGACGCCAGCTGTGGCAGGAGCAGGATGAACTTGAGCTTCCCGGATCCATCAATGAGAGTTCCCTTCCCAGCCAGTAATAAGCCTCTAACACCCCCTCAGAGGAACAGAAGCCCACACTGCCCTGCACTGGGTAGGCCTCAGCCTTACCAGCAGGGCCGCTCAGACGTAGCTTGGAGGTTTTGCCTCCTCTGATCTCCAGCTCAGATGGTGGATCAGCTGCACAGTACTCTCCCTGAGGCGTGCAGTGAGGCGTCTCTCTGCTGCACCTTGCTACATCTCCCGTGATATTTTACTGGCTCTAGGAGGGTGCCATGAGCAACAGATTGTATGGCAGGCCCACCTAGCTCCAACTTCAGAGCACCCCAAAACCAAGGATGGAGATGTAAATCAATTAAAAGTCTATGGCTCAGTTTGGACTCTGAGAAATCAAGCAACATGTAGGAGCTGATGCGTCTCAAATTAAGATGCCCTCAGAGATCAGGCAGGGCACAGGAGTGCGTGGCAATGGGCACTAGGGAGAGATGGAGCCTAAGGAACTGCAGGGTGTGCCCTGCCCAAGGGCTGCCAGTTAAAAACGTCCCTAAACTGCTGCGTGGGGCCTGTAGCTTCAGATCCCTTAGGCAGACAGATTAACAGGGCACCAGCAGCAAAATTAGAATATTATCCTGGCTTCCATGTTGATTTTCTGCTCCTGTCTCAGAGTGGGGTGAACCTGGAGCTAAGGTAGCCCCCCTGGAAAGAGTGGTAATGGAGAAGGCCTTCAAGCCATTAGGGGGTCTTTGGTAACATCTATGCTTTTGCGGTGCTGAGGCCTGCTGGCGATGGTTGTGTTGCATTTTTAAAACAGGACCGCCAAAGAGGGAAGTCTAAACTTACCCGAGTGGCTCTCCTGGGAGAATTCTAGTCCTCAGTGAAGATCTGCAGTGGAATCATTTGAGGGAGGGGCATCTCCCGCCTCTCCAGTCGTCCCATGGGATGGCAACAGGAAGGCTGGACAGGGCTCTTCTGTGTGGCCCTTGGAGGGTCCTTCCAGGGCCATGGTGTCCCTATGTGGTTGAGGACAGAGAGTAGCTAGGCATATCAAGTGAGAGGCACATAGTTTTAATCCAGGACCCTGTATACTTTCCCTCCTTCATCCCCTTTTCAAGTAATTTACACTGATCATCCTCCACTTCCCCCAAAAAATCGCTAAATATCTTTGCTCTGAGAACCCGTGGGCAGCAGAAACTACAGGCATCCAGGAGTTTGATGATTTTGGGGGGATCTCTGCCCGTAAGATGGGAGAGAGGAGCTAAGTCCAACAGGCCTCGGCAGAGCATTGCATATCCTCTGAGTGGGAGGAGGAGGAGACATGCGAATCATCTAATAGTCAAAGCAGTAGTCACAAAGCAGGAATAACTACAGTCACAACTGCCAGTAAAGAAAAAACTGAATCACTTTTAATGCTCACTGTATCATAAGGGAAGAAATGAATGATCGTGTATCCACATGTATCATTTAGTAAGTTAGCCTTTCCATTGGACAGATGACAATGAGCATCTGCTGGGTGAATAAGATTGACTCCTTTCACCAATATGGACTAATTCTGTATTTTACTTTACCTGAAAGATTTTTCTGGATTAAAGGAAATTCAGGTGACAGGACCTGTCATGTTCTCTTTGAAATCCTCTAAACCTCTGTCCAGTGTGTACAAACCATTCTGACAGATGTAAAAATGCACTCTTCTGATGATAGGCTGTAGTGAACTTTTCTTCGAAGGGAAGTTTGCACTGATGCAGAAGTCCCTCATACGAGCAGCAAAATCAGGTGAAAAGTTCAGAGCTGAGCCACTGCCTCTGGAGGGCACTTTCCATGTTATTATTAGCAGGTTTTTTATAGTGTCTCACCTTTTCCTCCTTTCCAACGACATGACGCAAGCTCTAATGTGCCCGCCTCTGCAAGGGTGACATGTGATTTTATGGGGTGCTGGAGGAGTTTGTATGGGGGTTTCTTTATTCATGTGTGTGCTGTGCTGTCTCCATCCCAGGCCGAGTACAGATGCTGCCCCAGGCGGTGTGCCTCCTCCACGCGCTGCTCGAGAACGGCCACACCGTGTACGTGCACTGCAACGCGGGCGTGGGCCGGTCCACGGCGGCCGTCTGCGGCTGGCTCCAGTACGTGCTGGGCTGGAGCCTGAGGAAGGTGCAGTATTTCCTCATGGCCAAAAGGCCTGTGGTGTACATCGATGAAGACGCCTTGGCCCGGGCAGAAGAAGATTTTTTTCAAAAATTTGGGAAGGTGCGTTCTTCCCTCTGCAGTGTGTAGCTGGCTGATCTGTCTCCCCTCCCTCGCCATTTCCTTAAAAGGCCTAGAGTGATGTTAGCAAAGTGGCCTAGAAACACAGCATCTCCTGGAACTGAAAAGACTGCCGACTTCTCCCCCAACCTGCCACCTTTAGTCTGCGGCTGACTTGCTGTTCCCCTTTGATTGGGCTGTATCTTCTTTGAAATCTTTTACAAAGGAAGCTGTGACTGACACAGGAGAAAAGGCCACAAGCGGCTGGCTGTGCAGTGTTGGTCTAGCATCAGACGGAAAGGTGACGTGTGGGGTTCCTGCTGCCTGCAGGCAGACCAGCCCTCTGCTTTACAGATGCTGCGTTAGCGGTGTTATGAATTCACGGCCGCGCTTTCTTGTTGCATTGTAGCGTGGCATGCGGAAGAAAAGATGGGGAGTTATATAGACTTCATCACTTGTGTGTGTGCACATACACACACACACACACACACACACAGCTTTTCTAATGGACTGAAATGAAATTATAAAATGAGAGCTGGTCAGTTGCCAAAGAAGGGGAGAAGAGCGGAAGCCTGGATTATGACTAAGTAAGAGCTCAACATGACCAAAAACAGTGGCTTTTTGCATCCTTCTCCACAGTTGTTCAAGTGTGTCCCAAGGCATCACCTTCCTTATCTACCCAACAACGCTGTGTGACAAGCAAAGTAGAGTTATTGTCTCTGTTTTAATTGATGCTCAATGAGCAGAGAGAGCTTGCCCAAGGTCTCATGGTTAGTCAGAGACGAGCTGGAATTTGTAACCCATGTTTATTTGACTCAGTACTTTTTCAACACACCTTGTTTTTCCAGCTTATTGTAGTAAATTCAGTTCCTCTCTCTCAGAGTCAAGTCGATATTTCTGCAGCAGTTTCCACAGTGAGAAATGAACAGTGTTCTGATCAGTTGCTAAAGAATTTAGGAAAGTATTATATTTTGTACAGCCTAATGTAAAACGTGGTGGGCTGTATCGAGGCCAAAGTGGCTTGAATCGTAGCTCATGGGAGGAGCTGTGTTATCAAAAGAGCTCAAAGAGCCCAAACCATAGATCATTGTCCCACGGCTTAGGAGTCATCCTGGTTCAGCCCTCAACTTAACACAATGCACAGTCACTGTGCCTCCAGAATACGTAATCCACTACCCTAGATTCTACAGGAAATACCAAGATGAATGAGACTGTGCCTTCCAGAAGCTTATAGCCCAGACACAGCCCTGTGTTCAGTCCACTATAGTGCAGGCTTGAACTGTGGATGAGACTAGAATGAGAGAAGGGGAAGCGACTTGTATCGTATGCCTCTTACGTGCTGGGTGCTTACAATCTGATCCAATTTAATCCTCACCGTACCCCACGGGGAAGGGTTCACGATCTCCAGGTATAGATGAAGAAACTAAGGCTCAGAGAGGTTAAGTCAACTGTCCAGGATCGCATGGTGAATAAATAGATGAAATGAGATACAAAGCAAGGTCTGTCTGACTCAAAGCCCATACTTTTTCTATTAAACTACAATGCTTGTATCTTTTTCTGCTTCTTCTTTCCTTCTGTAAATATTTTTCAATAGATATGAGAGACTCTGATTTAGGAAGTAGGAGGGATAAAAAGGATGCAGGGTAAGTTCCAGTGGAGTTCAGAGGAGGGAGAGATGTTACAAGACTATAACTGTGCGACTCAGGGGAGACAGCATTGAGAAGGCTGGACAGGACACGTTTCTCCTATAATTTTACAAAATTAAATTCATAAGCCAGGATTGAATAATATGAGGTCCTGCTCCCTCGCTAAAAATCACTGTTGTATTAAAGTAACCCATTTATAGTCATAATGTGTTGTGTAAAATTTAATTTTAAAAACAGAATAATTCTAATTACGTACATTTTTGGCTGTGTGAGTGTGTGAATTTCCTTAATGTCTAAAAAGTCCAGCTATGTAATTTCCACTACAGAAAGACCATTGTAGGTGGATTTTTCCCTTTTTGCTCTGATGGGCAAAATCAGTTTAGGGCCATTAAAGAATGTTCTGGAATAACCTCTCTTGTCCTCAATGAATGGGATGTCCAATGTATTTCAAAATCACCTGGAACTTTTGCTAAATAAAAGCTTTAAAAATAACCTCTGTGTGCAGGATTTCTTAAAACGTTATTAATTTAATCTCAAATCCAGAAGAACAAACTGTGTTTCTTTGTTTGTAAAAGAGGCAGTCAATTGAGCTAAGTTTTTTTTTTTTTCTTGTCACTCTTACTTTCTCATTAGCTGATCAAAAGTGGCAGTTACAGGACAAAAATGAGGGCACCACAAAGAAATGAGGATGACAACCTCAAGTGTATGTCAGAAAAAATCAGAGCAGATATTGTGTCGTTAGCTCCTTGTCACTGGCATTAATAAAATTTCCCAGCCATAGATTTCTCGAAGAATATCATAAGATCTCACACATGGTAAAGAAATGTCCAAATAAGGTTGCTTTCTTTGAGACTTGAAATATTGTCCCTTAATTATTTTGTGTGCCAACGTTAGGAAAAAAATCTTAAAAAAGAACAACACAGACATGCTCTTCTCACCAACATTAAGGTGTGGGTGAAAACCACTTGGCTTGGCCAAAGAAATCCTGGTGAAAAAATGTGGTTAGGACTTTGGAAACTGTAAGGAAGTAATGAAAGGGAAGATTTGAAGATGAGTTAGATAACGGAATGAGAACTTGCCACACGTGAAAGAAGACTGAATAGCTAAACAGAGACTCAGTTTGATCGCAAGTTAAAACTGAAAGTATCTTTAGAGATAATCTAGTTTAACGCCTTATTTTACAGAGGAGCAAACTAAGACCCAGAGACATCGGATGACTCTTCCCGTGGCAAAGAGTGTTAATTGAGGACCAGAGGAAAGGGATAAGCTAGGAAGACAGGACAGGAGATTCGTTACATTGTTGAGGAGTCCTAGAAAAATACACGGGAATGAGAGATGACAGTATTGTTAGTGGGAAGAATTGGTGGGAGGATTGATGGAAATTTGGAGCAAGTGGAAGAAACACAGCTGAAATGAGAAAAAGCAAAGAATAGCGAAATTCCCAGAAGAGGAAAAAGCAGTGCTTCCTTTTATAGACATACTGTTGGGAGACTTGAGAAGGAAGGTGTACCTGTAGAAACAGAAGGTAAAGTTAAGGTTATGTTCCCAGGACAGACGCTTATGGTAAGTATCCCCTTACTTCTCGTTGGGCCTAGACTTCAGTAGGAAAAAGGACCAGCTAGATGTAACGTGCTGACCAAGTAGGGGGGTGGGATGTGCAGTGGCTGATTACCTGCTAGGAAAAAAAGAAAATCTGATAGAAGACGGGAGTAAGAATAAAGAGGAAAGGATTGATGAAGCTACCTCTTATTATGACAATAATAGTGGCAATAATAATAAAGGGACGAGGAAGAAGGGCAACAACTTCTTTCTTTCCTTCCCTAAACCGTTACTCCAAAAGCCTTTCCCAATTTGGTTAATGGAAACGTACTTCCGGCTGCTCAGGTTCTAAACCTCAGAGTCATTCTTAACCTCTCTTTCTTTCAAACATCACATTCAATCCATCAGGAAAATCTGTCACCTCTCCTGTGATAGATTCAGTTCTCCTGAAAATGTCTATAGACTAACTGGCTTTTACCTCCTCCACTGAACAACACTGGTCAGAGCCGACGTGATCTCTAGACTGGATTTCAGAAACAGCCTCCTCACTGGTCTCCCTGATTCTCTCCTTCCCTCTCCCCCAGCCCCTACTACTCTTAAATCTACTGTCACACAGCGGCCAGGGTGATCCTATAAAACTGCGTGTCACATCATGTCACTCCTGTGCTCAGAGCTTCCAATGACTTGCCATGTCCCTCAGCGTAAGAGCCACAGCCCTTCAAGGACCTGCACAAACTGGTCCCCTGTTAGGTCTCTGACCGGGTCTCCTGTAGCCTGCCACCTCTGCTCCAGCTGTGCTGCCCTCCCTCCTCTTTGAGTCTTCCAGGCAGGCTCCTCCTTCAGGGCACTTGGCACTTGCTGTTCCCTCTGCCTGGGATGCTCCTTTTCCAGGTAAGCACATGACTCACACCTCCTTCAACGATGCCTTTCTGGACCACCCTATTAAGAATTGCCATACCCAACCCCAGCCCTCCCTAGCCTCATTCTCTGCTTCATTTCTCTTCACGGAACTTATTAGTGGCCAATATATTCTTAATTAGCTTATTTGTTTTATTGTCTGCAGTTTTCACTATAATATAAACTTCATGAGGTCAAAATTTTAATCTGTTTTGTTTGGTGATGTACCTAGTGTGCCTATAACAGGGCCTGGAATGTAGTTCCATGAGTGAAGGACAAAAATACCAATAACTATTGAGAGCACACATTTCATGTACTGTTCTTTAAGTACTTTACGTATGTCAGCTTATTTAATCTTCCCAACAATGCTATGAGGTAGATACTATTATCTCTATTTTACAGATAAGAAAACTAGAGGCTTAGAGAAAACATGAACTTATTCTCAGGCCAGAGTGACAGTTTCACTCCTGGTTTGGTGGAGTAAGCTGCTAATGAAACATCCTACATAAACTCTGGGTACACGACAGGAATTAGTTTGCTGGAGCAGCCATAAAAAGGTACCACAGACTGGGAGGCTTAAACAACAGAAAGTTCTGGAGGCTAGCAGTCTAAGATCGAGGTATCGGCAGAGTTGGTTCCTTCTGAGGGTTGTGAGGGAGAATCAGTTCCAGGCCTCTCCCCTGGTTTCTGATGGTTTACTGACAGTCTTTGGCCTTCCTTGGCTTGTAGAAGCATCACCCCAATCTCTGCCTTCGTCTTTATGTGGCGTTCTCCCTGTGTGTGTCTGTGTCCAAATTTCCCCTTTTTATAAGGACACCAGTAACGTTGGATTGGTCCACCCTACTCCAGTATGACCTCATCTTAACTAATTACATCTGCAAAGACCTTATTTCCAAATAAGGTCACATTCGGAGGTACTGGAGGTTAGGACTTCAACGTATAATTTTGGGGGGGACACGATTAAAACCATAACAT